GGCAGCTTGGCTTGCTGTTCCTGTTTCGGCCATTGGCTCTGATACCAAATTAAAAAACTTAGCAAAATATTTTGTATGAACTGAAGATAATTTTTGTATTGTAAAGGCTTAAATTCAACATTACATGTTATCAGTATATATATACAAAAAGAAGAACAAAACCATGCTGAAAATATTCTATTGCACCCTATACAAACTTGCCAAGTGTATAACAACCAATACTCTCCCACTCCTAGAAATAAGGAATACTCCAAGCACTGAAATAGATTGTTGTATCAGCTCGTGAGTGGGAATTGCAGCATCTATCATTACTGAATAAATGGTTGATTAATTTTAACTAAACCAAACGGGCACACCACTGTTTTAGAATAAACATTCTATAGCAACTATGTCAATGCGAATAGGAAGACAAGGACAACATTGGATACCTACAATGCAGACATGAGCATTATGTTGATTGCATAATGGAGTGGTTTCAAAACAACGGGGGCTTATTTGCAACAGAAGAAAACCCAAAACTTGTTAAACTACCATGAATATTTCATTGGGGGAAAAAAAAAATTCTCAACATAACTTATTTCCAAGGGAACTTCTAAATCAACTGCAAGATGGGGATTCCTAATGTGATCATTGAGTATCATGATTTCGCTTCATGAGCAACAGAATATACTTTCCTTGCTGTTGGTAACACAACTTACTGACCGAAATGGAAAATGCCACCGTGACAGAAGAATCTAGCCAGATTCTTTGATAGATGGCAATGTCGTGGGATGTGATTGGGTGGGAATGATTAAATATCATGTGACACTACGTCAACCATTATGTCAAGTGTACCATGATTCGACCCAAATTTTCCGTTGATAAATATCAAAGGTGAAAGTTGGGTTTTGATGATACAGAGAGAATCAGTTGATAGTTACTAGATGTGTCAAAATGGGTGGGCAAACTCAAAGGGATCAAGGCACGGCCCATGTGGGTTTGGGTTGATACTAATTAATTAGTCCTGAAAAACCAGAAAACATCCACAAATATTGATTTTATGGATTAAGCTGGTATCAGTCTGCAACACTGCACATATATATAACAATGCATGACTCTACACATTGGTAGATTTGTGTTTAGTTCTTATGAGCTTCTGCTTTGAGGTCTCTAACCTGGCTAAAGAGGCGAAGTAAGAAAGAAACACTCACCAAGGAAGTCACAAAAATCAGCAATTATGGGATTTCTGTCTGAATTTCTCCAATTTTGGTTTCACTTTCCATGGATAGAAAATCATATAGTAATAGTCGGATTTGCAGATGCTAGACGTGGTATTTTCTTCTCTTTCGATTGAGTGGTTTGAAAGTTCTAAATCTGCATGCAGGGGCGGAGGGGGGGGTCCTGGGTGGGACCCGGACCCCCCCAATTTTTTTACAAAAAAAAAAATTTATTATTATTATTATTTTGAATAAGACACATTCATTAGATAAAGAAACACAATGAATGAGAGAGAATGAAATGGTAAACCCGAGTACAAGGAACATGTGCCATTAATAATAGAGATATTGTCTCCATTTGCAATGTAATCGGTCACTACATTTCCTTCTCTAAATATATGTAGTATCTTGTATGGCAACTCAAAAAACATTTGCTCTCCTCAAATGTGATACAAACCACATGATTGAACGAATGTTCATTTTTGTAGTTGTAAAATAGAACAAATATTGCGAGTGAGGGAGATCTTTGATATCACAAATAGAACATCCAATGTACCATCTACTTAATTATGAACTTACAACTAACTAGTATTACTTGTGAAATTACAGACAACCTGTAACATCAGTGAAGCTCAGTAAAGATCTTTTAGTTGTGTAGTGATCTCTCAAGTTATAGTTACCTATCAAATGTCGCAAAAACTTTAGCAAGTTTTCCACTGGAGCGCTATTCATCCAACCAAGTAGCCGTATCTTCCAAAGGTCCGATTAGAGCTAGTTTTCGGCTACAGTTTTCACATCTTTTTCCCGTTTACCTAACATTTAGAAATTTGAGCTTAGTCCAACCATTTTATATAGCAAGAGAATATTTTTAGCAAAAGCACAAAATTTGTCAATGCAAATGGCTGTGCAAAATGTTGAGATTTTCAAGGATCAACCGTGATGGAACTTGATGATCAAATTGACACATACATCATTGATATGCACACTGATGAAGAATTTGGAGGATTACAAAGCCTTGGTGAACTTGTACAAAAGTTGGTTGTGACAAAAAAATGAAGTATACCCGTTAGTATACAAGCTTTTAACATTTGCATTAATTCTTCCAGTTGCTATTGCTACGGTAGATAGGGTATTTTCTGTAATGAATTATGTCAAGAATCGATTGCGCAATCGAGTGAANAAGCGAATGAATGATAAATGGTTAAATGATAGCTTGCTTGTGTATATTGAGAAGGATGTATTCATCATGATTGATGATGATGTAGTTATACAACGTTATCGAAGTTTGAGAACTCGAAAGGAACATTTGTAATAAGGTATGATTTTGCTAAATTAAATATTAGTATCTTCTTTTATACGTTTCTTAATTTTTTTGTTAATAATGTACATCAATTTATGTGCTTTTGTTTCTTTTCTCAATCACAAAGTACCAACTTTCCTCATTTTAAGAGAGTGTTTAAAAAAAAAAAAAAAATTGGGCACGTGGGCACCCATCCCTTCAACTCTGAGACTAGAGCACCCACCCCTTCAACTCTAAGACCCCCTACTTCGACGGTCTGGCTCCGCCCCTGTCTGCATGTACCTAGAGAGAAGTTAATTTGTTTATACAGATATCATTTGTTGTTTATTCTGTTATATCCTTTTGTTTTTTTCCCTCCTTTTCACCAAGAGAAATTGATCAAAACATATATCTCACCAGACACCGTATGTATGCATACAAAAATTGTATGTATATACTTCCTCCATCCCATAAACATATGCTTCTCCGTCCCATAAATATAGTTTTGTTTTTATTTTCACACAGATTAAGCAAACGTAATTAATATAGTTAGAAATATAAAATTTTCTTACATTTTTATAATATAACTCTACATTAAATAATAATTTAAATTTGAGTAGTTCAAATTTGTTGACAAAAATACACATTAAATAGGGATTTTTAAAAACAATTAAGAAATCAATTATGCTGTCAACAAGGAAAGAAACCTGTAATTTGGGATAAGCGAAAAGGAAAGCAACTATATTTTTATTAGACGGAGGGAGTATTATTCACTCTAGAATTTTTGTTCTCTCCTCTGCTATCATCATGATCGCCTTAACATCTTCAAAAACCAATCTTATTAAGAGTAGTTCAAGTCCTTGTATGTGGATTGTAATTTCAATATTACGGGGAATTTACCATTTACAGGAAACATCTATTCCGTTGCTAATCCATTGGAAATTCGTTCCATTGGCGAAGCTGCATCAGTATTTTGATTGCTTTTTCTCAAGAAGAATTTGTCGTGTATTAGTGCTCGTGATCTCTTGACAATTGTGTTCTAAGTCAGAATAATTATTAATGAAGTATAACTTCAAATTAACATAAATACGGAGCCGAATGAAGTTTTATACTCCTTATGAGATCAAATGCAAGGCTATTTTGCTGTTAGGACTTTTCGTACTAAATGAAACTACTTTCACTTTACATAAGCAAGAAAGTCAACCATAAGTCATCGCTTCCAATCTTCTTCTTTTTTTTGTTTGGTATGCCGCTCCGCGAGCAAGTAATGGATACCATCTCTACCTCTTTTCTTGATAATATGACTCGAAAAGAAAGCAAATTTTATAGACTTGAATGCATCAGTATAGAAAATACTCGGAAGAATAACAGACCAATTAAGCGAGGGATTTATTTAGCATCCGTTTGGGAAGAATCTAAAAACGGTTTAGTTTATAAATTGATAGAAATGAATTGTGAATAAGTGAGTAGCATTTGTGAGTCTATTGAAATATATGATTTAATATAAAATTTGATGAATTATGAATGAGGTATAAATTTTGCCCTCAGTTATAAAAAGTTAATAAACGGCCGTTCAAGAAAGCCTCAAGTAGTCCCTCCAATCGAGATTAAATTTAGAGCATGTTTGGCTAAACTTTTAAGTGACCGTCTTATTTTGGCAGCACGTGCTTACTTTCAATTTTTTAATGATTGTTTAGAAGGCAATTTATTGTGTGAACTGTCTTTCGAGTTGAGATCTGTTGTCCAAAATTGGCTGTCCAACTTGTTGTCTACCTATGATTCATTAAATCAATATGTTCAATTTTTCTCTCACTATCACTTGTGATTAAAAAAGGTGTGAAATGATGTGTCAATGAATGATTGATAGATAGAAAGATGGACAATCAATTTTGGATAGCGGATCTCAACTCCTGTCTTTTACACTGCAAGTGCAACAAGAAAATATTTCTCTTCGATATCGATTTCACATGAACCGAAATGACTCGATTAAGACAGAGATAGTCGTGACGGACTAATGTTGAACTTGGGAGTCCTACATAATTGGGCCCCCGTTTGGTTTAGATAAATATCAGAGTTTTAGTAAATTTTAATAAAAATTAATTATGGATCCTATTAAATGTATAGTTATAGTTAATTGTTGATTTTGACTTTAATTTTAATCCACTTTTTAAGTTGAACCAAACATGTGCTTAATTTCTACAACACTTTCCATAAAATTTGACTCAAAAATAAAACATGAAATATAACACAAGTTTAGCAGTCAAAATTATGATTAAATTGGGATAATTAGTCTCTGTACTCAAGTATATCAATTGTTAATTAGTAGAATAACTGGTTGAAAATTCAGTGGGACAAGGAGAAGAATCCCACAACAAATTTGACTTCCATGCATCTGCAGGCATACTCAAAGGGAAACTAAAAGGAAATCCAATCCCACAACAAATTTGACTTCCATGCATTTGCAGTCATACTCAAATGGAAACTAAAAGGAAATCCATCAAATTGTGCTACGTTATGGTTCTTCACTACCCCGTGTCTGGTCGACCCCAAATTTGTTGAGAACGAGGTTTAGTTTGTTGTCGTATTAAGCCAGACGTGTTGTCTCCATGGCACACATTTCCTTGCATGTCTTGTAATAACTCGGTCGAAAAGCTGTCACATTGCTCTTGCAATGTACTACTGTCTACATTCTTATCAAACTCTCCAAATATAGAGTTCAGAAACATGGAAGAAGCATCAATGTTGCATTTTGAGGAGGGTTCTGTGGATGAAAATGTGCAACTTGGAGTTAAGTTTCCATTGGAAATGGAAAATTCACAGGTTCTATTGCTACTTCGGTTTACTGGTTTGTAGGCAGGAATTTCAATCGGAGAAAAACTTGAAATTGATGATTTTTCTATATTGTTGTTTATAAAACCAGAATTGAAGGGCGAATTTGTTTTGTTTGTCAATGACATGTTGCCAGAAGTGAACTGATCAGGAGTAAGAGCATGAGGATTTATCATGTCAGATGTAGTAATAGTCTCAGGTATTGAAATTGTTTCCCATGCCCCCAGTGAGTTACATAAAGAGTTCGAAAATGTCAAATCTTTAATGACTCCTTCATGTACGGTTGAGTTGCGAAAACTTCTGGATAGGTATCCGGCATCCGAACCAAAATCTTTATGTTCCCAAGAATGAGAGAAAACTCTTTTTGTACTTGAGTTTGCTTTCTCGAAAATCCTACATATTGCCCATGGCTCCTGAGAAATCCAAAGAGAAAAAGAAACTATTTATAAATGAAATTTCTAAAGAAATACAATAAAGATTAAAAACGATCACCTTTATGTAAAAGGAAATTTTGAAATACATACATTTGCTGGAATACTTTTCTCGAGATAAGGTTTAGGTGAAACAGAGTTGGGGACCGAGGGAAGCCGGAACTCGTGCATCATCCAGTCAGTTTTTATCCCTTTTGCTGCTCTCCCTTTGTAGAAAACCAGGGACTTCTTCAAGCCAATGCATTTTGTGTTGTCTGAGGAGTATATAGGCCTATCAGTCCCGGTGGCTTTCCAGAATCCGGCTCCAGTTACACGGTTGGGACGCGAGCTATTTTTATATTTTCGATCCCTTGGACAGTAAAAGTACCATTCTTTTTCTCCAGTTATTGCCAATTCTGGTTGCAGAAAATGAGCACCAAGAACTAGCTAGTTAGGTTGCATGTTATCAAGAAACATATGGACAAAACGTAACAGTAGTCTATTTGAAATTTCAAACAAAAGCTAGATAAGATCTAGTTTTGCTCTCTCGAGATATTTCAGTAGATCTAGCAATACAACGAACACAAGTGCCAAAAAAAAAAAAATCAAAGAAAATATTCTCGTGATAGACCCTAAATATGTTTGGACAATATTTGAACTTGGAAAACCCTTCGATATGAGCAAAGAAAGAACAAAGAATTAAAGGGTCCTAAAACCAAAGTAATTCACATTAAACCAATAGGTAAAGGAAGTGAAAATTTCAGTTAGAAAACCAAGAAGAGAGAAATTACCAACAAGAAAATACTTTTAATCCATAATCTGAAAGAACTTCAAACTTTTATAACAAAAAAAGGTTCTTACTTGGAAGATCCCACGGATCATACTTATAGATGTCAAGTTGCTTGATGAGTTCAATGGAAAGAGGCCTCTGCTGAATCTTTCTTCTTAGATAAAACCCTACTAGTTCTTCATCAGTCGGATGAAACCGGAACCCCGGCAGCATAACTTCATCTACTTTATCACTCTCATTTCTCTCCTCCATAACTTTTTCTTCTTAAACAGATCTTTAATTTCTGTGTGTATTCAGATATTCTTCCAGACAAAAAATTTGATAGCTCTACTTTCACTTGCTATATGCAGCAGGACCAAATGGATTTGAACATGAACCAGTTTCAAGAAAAGGAAACAGAAAATCTTGAACATAAACCCTTAAACCTAATTAGAGAACAGACAATGAAGTTTTAACCTAAAAGCATGCTGTCCAAATAGATGAACTCAAAAGGGTGAGTTGAGAATCACTTAATTTGAAAGTGATTATATGCACCCTGAGAAGGGGTCTGCCTCCGAAGGATCATCCGCCTTTTGTGGTGACTTTAAAGAAGCTTGTTTTTGAGAAAATAGCCACCCAGAAAACCTCAAAGTCAAATATATGAATTCTTAGCAAAGACTCTTGATTTCTTATACTTCATGACTCATGACCCAAATTGTGTTTTGTTTAAGTCCAAATCGAGGAATCTCAAGAAGCACCAAATCAGCCCGCATGGGGATTAGGATGTAATAAGTGAATGATTTAATATGCATGCATAATAGAGTAATGCTATTCATCCCCACTGGGGATAAAATGCTATTCATCCCCACTGGAGATAAAAACACAGTTTAGGTAATGTTAATGTGTCATCAAATGATAGGTGAAATTAAATAAGTTATTTAATTTTACTTTTCATTTAACCTATCATTTAAAACCAACTAAACTGTATTTTAATCCCCACTGGGGATGAATAACATTACTCAGCATAATAATATTAAGATTAATTAAGGGAAAAATTGCACCACTGATTCTCAAACAATTGCTCGAGTTGTGAGTTGCTATTCAATTACTTGCGTTGCACAATCAATCCCAACAACGCAAACTTTAAAAGTCTCTATTAGTGTCACAAGGACACTCACATGATCAGCATTAATAGAATCGATCGTAAGAATTTTGCCTAGACGAATTTGTCCTGTAGGTTGGTCTTGCCCTTCTTAAAGTTGGTCGCATTATGATCTCAAACGATTTAATCAGGACTTAGACGGTGTATGTCGATGGAGACGGGCTATGTAATTATATATATATTGAAAGTTTGAATATCAACTTGCACCTCGAATAATATGTTGGAGACCAAACTGAAACAATTTTTTAATTAATTAAGATAAATATCTTATTGATTATTTGTCTTTCGTGTGAAAACAAAGCAAACTTCTAGAGGAGTTAGTGTCTGGGGATCCAAAATTTGCCAGTTTCTGTTCCATTCCCCACAGCTTCTATTCCACTGACTCTTCAGATTTTAATAATATAAATTATGAATTAATATATCAGATTAATGAAAGATGCCTAGAATTATGTAGGGTTCAGCATAAGGTTTAAAGAGCATTGATGGACTAATTAAATTCTAAAGAAACTTCCAGCTGTTGACCATTTTGGGTGTACAAAACCTCCATTCAAGAAATCAAAATTTGCTTAAAAAGGTGGACTTTGGAGTTTGGATGAAGGTTGAAGAGTGAAATTAATTAAAGAATCTTTAAAAATAAAAAATAAAAGAAATCTCATTAATTTCTCCACATTGCCTTCTTGTTGTTTTTTTTTCCAAGTTTTTGAATAAATTACCCGAGTATTTGAAAAATAATTGTTTAGAATATGTTTGGCAAAGCTTTTTAAAAATTATAAGTTGGTTAAACAATATTTTTATATAGATATAATTTGCAAAAAGATTTACTACTTAGATTTTATTTAAACAATAATAAAGCCAGTTTTTTTTTTTTTTTTGGCTTTGTTATGTGAATTTTTACCGTTTAAAAGAAATGGTTTGAAATTTAAAAGTAATTGTATTCTTGCAAACAGTAAGCACATTCGTTTTTACTTTTTTCTGTTGCCGTATTTTTTAATATTTGTATTAAACATTTCACGCCGAAAACCGGCAGAAAAGTTAAAATTTAAAGTAAAATCGTGTTATTTTTTCCCCCAACGTTGAAAAATGGCCTCAATATATGCTTTTTTTATTTTTTTATTTTTTTTCTCTTTACCCTCATGTTTACTGAAATAGGAAAAAAGATCAATGATCTATTTGACAAAACTTTAGAAAAGTTAAAAAATTATTTATAAGAATAACAAATTAATTTTGAATTACATGTTTAGATAATTTTTTGAAAGTAATTAATTACATGATTAGAAGAGTTTTTAGAGGAACCCAATAAAAGGTAAACTTTCTCGAAAAATTCTTCTACAAAAAACAAAAATTACAAAAGAAAGAAAGAAACTCTGGCAAACGAGCCTAAGTCCAACACATATTTGCTTAAAGACACACTTAAGTTGTAAATTAGTCAACCTAAAAGGTACTACTTTGGCTCGAACATTTTAACTGAAATCGAATCTCCCGAATCGATTGGGTCGAGTTCAGTTCTTAGTTCCCAAACTAGAATCGTGGGTATTCGTGTGAAACCGATTTTTATATAATTTTTTATATATAAGATGAGCTCCGGTGCTCATTAGATCATTTCTGTTTATATATATATGTGTGTGTGTGTGTGTGTGTGTGTGTGTGTGTGTAAAACCTAAAAATTTTAATTTAGATAGTAATTACTAATTAGTTTAAAACTCTAGACTCTAACCCTGAGACATCAAGACTGACTCCTACTCTTTTTTTACATCTCGCCTCATATCAAATTGTTGCATTTTAAAAGTTAGTACACGTCAATCTTTAAAATTTGAATTTTTTATGAATCAAAAATTTCAAGTTATATTGTTATGTAAATTGGTGAATCAAAGTGTTTATTATTTGCAATTCGAGTTTTTTTATTTTCTTAATTGTTTATAAATTTAAGTGGTTTTTTTTAATAATGCATGACAATTGAATTTGATATATTTATTGTTTGGGTTGTGATGTATCTTTTTTGTTATCTTGAGTTCGTGATTCTCCTTTGAAATATATTTTTTTCTTTTTTATTCAAATAGAACGAGTACAATATGTAGACTCTAATTTCTTGACACTATATAGTTTTGTATCTAATTAGTGTTTTTTCTGTCAGTTTTAGGAGTACACGAATTTAAGCATTGTCTATAATTAAATTATATGTTCTAACATGCCTCGTTTATGGATCGAATTAGATTTATTAAAAAAAATTATTTTCAAATTATAATTTAATTATTAATATTTTGATTTTTTTTTTCCTATTTTCGTGGTTTTTACTTTTGAATATCCACTATTTTGTTTCTTGAAGATTTATTAACTGAATTTTTTCCATTGCACAAATATTTTCGAGTAGATGCTTGTTAGGCATAAACGAATTATATGAAAATATTTATTAAATGTATATAAAAAATGTTTGGGTAGAATCGGAATCAACGGTTCGGATTTGAGTTTGGTTCTAGTGTTTACAAGGAAACAATTAGTTTTATTTATGAAATACCCGAAGTATAGTAGATAATTTTGGGTATTAAATACCCGAACCGATCTACCCGACGCCCAAGCCTACTGCTACATTTATTCAATGTAATTTGCACTAAAATGTCAAATAAAAAATTTAATGTGAAACCTATAGCTAGGATTCTAGTAAATTACTTAAATTCTACGCTTTGGGGTACCACTATTGGTCTATCTTTCTCATTATTAGGTTTTTAGCTGTATTGAAAATTTTTTAGACAAAAGGAATATCATAAAGGAATAGAATTTTTGTAAAAGTCAATGAGTATTTTGGAGGGTTGTATAGATGAATTCAATTAAGAGTCTTTGGGTTCAAGCATGGAATGATGAGAAAGAATCGTCCGATTTACGCTAGCCTGTCTCATAGCTGATGCTCGAGCGTCCAAAATAGAATCATTGTTGTTCGGCTCTCGCTCAAGCAGCGCACCTCTCGCTCGTCACGCTAGCTTGGCGCTCAAGCAACGATATTTTTCAAGAAACCCTAGTTTGCATTTTTCAAGTGTTTTAATTATCTTATACTACTTAAACTCCTCCTATTATAAATACCCAATAGTCATTACATTTTTTGTGGTGGTTGATTATTATTTTACATCCATATATCATTATTTCAAAATCTAAGAACACATTCAAATATTGAGATTAACATTTTGATTCTTGAGATCAATCAATTACAAGTTTTTGAAAAACAACGAATTCATATAATCCAAAATACTCACTTCCTATATATCATCAGGAATGAACTTTCTCCATAACTTTCAGAGGTTGCTGAAAATTGAAAAATGTCGGATCAGAAGCACGGAAAGAGTATAAAAACGAGGCGTTCTAGGTGTTCCACAAAAGATAGACAATTCCAAAAGATCGGAAGTAGGTGTGAGTGAAGCACGTTTCAGCAGATTTTGGAGATTATAGGAATTAAATCAACAAGAATAGTGGGTTTTCTAGGCTGGATCATCCTATAACTTCTTATTGTATAAAGTGGAAACTATTGACTTGGTCTCGAAGTTTTTACTTAGTTAAGGGTTTTCTCCTTCATCAAATCTTGTATTATTTACTACTTTAATTATTTATTTGCAGTAATTCAATACATGATAACTTGACTTGATTGTCTAAACATTTAAAACAATTAAAAAGTAACATGTTGCTTTTAATTGATAAATTTAATTTCATGTTATTTACCTATTAGGTGATTTTAGGGTTGAACTAGTAACTTTCACTCATCAAGGAATGTATTGGGAGTAAATACAAAATATGATCAAAACTTCGTTTTGACAAATTTATAAAGAGAAATAATAATAGGTTGTCAAATGAATGGATAATTAACAAGTAATAGTTATGAATATGTGATTGAAATTAATATTTAATTTTGATTAAATTTGCAAATCATTATAAATTTGTTTGCCAAATTGAGGCTAGGTTGAAAATTTGGGTGCTTAAAAAGGATAAAGTATGGTAAGGTTATTATATAGAACACCGAACGGGCTACTGTAAAAGAAAAAAATCTGAAATGTCTTGAGGTTCCATTAATTAAACATCAATACAAATATTTGACTTTATTTCTTTATATTCCTCACTTTTCTTGCTTCTT